TGGGGGGGTGAGTTGTGGTTGTGTTTGGGGGGCACCTACTCTCCCCCCTCCCTCTCCCACCCTGCACGTGACCGGATCTTAAACCAGGAGTCCAGACCGCCAGAGAACCCGCAAACTCCGAGGGCGTATGCCCCCTCCCCACCCCCCTTCCCTCACCTCCTCCCCCTCTCTCTCCCCTCCCTCACCCCACACCACTCCCCCCCTCTCCTCCTCCTCCCCCCCCCCCCTCCCCCTCCCTCACCCTCCTACCTCCCTACCCCCCCCTCCCCCTCCCTCTCCCCTCCTCCTCCCTCCCACACGACCCCCCTCGCCCCTCCCTCTCCTCCCCTCCTCCCTCCCCCTCTTTCTCCGTTTACCATCTTGAATCTATACCCATACAATTTTAACCGATTCAAAACACTTTCACAGGACTGTCATGCAACGTCCACCAACCTTTATCTCCCTATAATCCAATTTCACCACTTTACTACATAACCAATTAAAACCCAATGACCCCCACCGGAAACGAATACATATTACAACTATTCATTCCTAGCCAATCACTCCCATATTTGTCACCTTTTATTCATCTACGTTCTTTGTCTGATAACCCCCAGTAATGTATTTCATTCTATAACTTTCAAGACCGCGCGGAGTCCCGGTTCATCGATTTCCCACATCACACACGCCCGACCCACCGCCCAGTCATGACCCGCTCCCCCCCGCCACCTCACTAACTAAGACGTCCAACATCAGGAGCGACCCAAAGAGCCGAGCCTCATTCAATCCGCGTCCCCCTCTATCCAAGCCCGCAAACCCCCCCATCAACCCATAATCATCAGATAGTCTCATCTCTCTTCATCTTTCACTCGTTCTCCTTCTTAACTTTAACAACCTCTTCCTATCTCTTTTTCAATCCAACCGTCTCTGTTCTTTCTTCTTCTTGAGCTTTTCTACCTCCTCCTTCCTCTCATGAAAGAACCCCCCCCCCCCCCCTCTCCCCCGCCTTCTCCCCCTCTCTCTCCCTCCCCCCCCCCCTCCCCCTCCCCCTCCCTCCCTCTCCTCCCCCCCCCCCCTCCCTCTCCTCCTCCCCCTCTCTCCCCCTCCCTCTCCCCCTCTCTCTCCTTCCTGGTGGACCAGCACCATGAAGAGGAACGAAAGCAACCAATGGTAACAACTGGATGATGACGCCTGCGGAGATTTAGCACTGAACAAAAACAATTGAAGTAAAAAAGTGATTTGAATAATATTTATTATTCCTGCAGCAGTAGCGTGTGACATCACAGTTCTGGAGAATCATAATTACATCCTGTACAGACTATATTTTTAACCTTTAACATGTTCTTTGGTCTTTTGCACAAATCTGAGTGATTCTATCGGTGCCAAATGTGACAAGTCTCCGTCAGAGATCAACTGTTTTATGTTTTCTTCCTATTTTGGTTTATTAATATTGTTTTTTCACTCTTTTTGTTGGAAACTATGATGGACGAGAGCGACTTGTGGACGACCTGAAATGAATAAATAAACACAGTCACTCGGGCCTTTATGTCGTCATATTGTATCTATTTATATATTGTACACATTTGTGCAGTGTTTTATATATCTCTATAAAAGTCCTTTGAAAACAACTCGCACAAACACAAACACATCGCTCGCTCGCGTTCGCCAACTCAACGGTGTGGATCCAAAATGGCGGCGACAGCATTAACCGTCCACAGTCGCTGCTTTACGGCCCTCAGAGCAGGCTCCGAGAACAACGCTGGGATTTAAGAATAAAATGTGTTGAGCGCTGCATGAACACGAGCGGCCGCCGCCGTCTTCTCTGCCACAAAAAGTGCAACGTGGACTTTTCTCTGAGTGACAGGTCTCAGACTGAGGAGTGGGGGAGTGGTTAGCCTGATCAAAGGGAGGATGTGCAGCTCGTTACGGCTTTGATCTGGATGAAGGAGAGCGGACTATGCAGAAATGTGTACGTATGATGAGAGATAGGGTTTCTCTAATGGTGAGCGAGAGAGACCAGAGAGAGACCAGAGAGAGACCAGAGAGAGACCAGAGAGAGACCAGAGAGAGAGACCAGAGAGAGAGACCAGAGAGAGACCAGAGAGAGACCAGAGAGAGACCAGAGAGAGACCAGAGGGAGACCAGAGAGAGACCAGAGGGAGACCAGAGAGAGAGACCAGAGAGAGAGACCAGAGAGAGAGACCAGAGAGAGACCAGAGAGAGACCAGAGAGAGACCAGAGAGAGACCAGAGAGAGACCAGAGAGAGAGACCAGAGAGAGAGACAGAGAGAGACCAGAGAGAGACCAGAGAGAGAGACCAGAGAGAGACCAGAGAGAGAGACCAGAGAGAGACCAGAGAGAGACCAGAGACCAGAGAGAGACCAGAGAGAGACCAGAGAGAGAGAGCAGAGAGAGACCAGAGAGAGACCAGAGAGAGACCAGAGAGAGACCAGAGAGAGAGACCAGAGAGAGAGCAGAGAGAGACCAGAGAGACCAGAGAGAGACCAGAGAGAGAGACCAGAGAGAGAGACCAGAGAGACCAGAGAGAGAGACCAGAGAGAGAGCAGAGAGAGACCAGAGAGAGACCAGAGAGAGACCAGAGAGAGAGACCAGAGAGAGAGACCAGAGAGAGACCAGAGAGAGACCAGAGAGAGAGACCAGAGAGAGAGACCAGAGAGAGAGACCAGAGAGAGAGACCAGAGAGAGAGACCAGAGAGAGAGACCAGAGAGAGAGCCAGAGAGAGTCCCAGAGAGAGAGACCAGAGAGAGAGAGACCAGAGAGAGAGACCAGAGAGAGAGACCAGAGAGAGAGACCAGAGAGAGAGACCAGAGAGAGAGACCAGAGAGAGACCAGAGAGAGACCAGAGAGAGACCAGAGAGAGACCAGAGAGAGAGACCAGAGAGAGAGACCAGAGAGAGACCAGAGAGAGAGACCAGAGAGAGAGACCAGAGAGAGACCAGAGAGAGACCAGAGATTAAACAGCCAAAACAACCCTGTGTAACCCTGACTTTTTTACATCAATCTCAAACCTCTCTTTCCCTTTTGTTTAAATGTTTTCCTTAATTCCCCACATAACTTAACTCAAACCGCTCTAATTACCTTAGCTCGGGCTGACAGCTCAGATTGCTTTGATTGTTGCATTATTTAGCCACAATTACCGCTGTTACTTCCAATCTAAATCCGGCGACTTCTCCTAAACATTCATGCATAAAACAACAGCCTTAGATTTACTGTACGGCTGGTCCACGCGGGGCTCCTGTGTTTTCATTAGAGCCGTGTAATGAGCTAACTGTAGCTAAAGCTAGCCCCATTAGCTGCAGGTTTGGAGTGTTTTGCGGGGGCGGGATGCACAGCTGGCTAAATGAAATGTCAATAACAATGGCGTTTAATGCCGCTGAGTAGACAATGGCGCTCTATTCCCAGGCTGAGCGAAGGTAATTCCTGGTCATTATTACCTCTGAGCCGTGTTAGCCGCCACAAGAAAAGGCTCTCCGGGGGTTTGGACTCGGCATCTGGAGGTGATTAACCAACAGCTTTAGAAGAGATGGTCAAGTCTGTGAGAATAACGGCCTAAAGAGACGGCTGTAGGGACTGAAGCCGCGGCGTCAGAACTTACACTGTTAAAGTCTGAGAATAACGGCCCAAAGTTTCTAAGTTTTCTGTCAGTTTCTAACGCCTCAGTATCTGGCATTAGGCCATAACTATGGTCCATAACTATGGTCCATAACTATGGTCCATAACTATGGTCCATAACTATGGTCCATAACTATGGTCCATAACTATGGTCCATAACTATGGTCCATAACTATGGTCCATAACTATGGTCCATAACTATGGTCCATAACTATGGTCCATAACTATGGTCCATAACTATGGTCCATAGCTCTGAAATAAAGTCTATGGTTCAAGTCTCTTTATAGAAAACAGTCTGAGGTCTTAGCGTTTATTAGAACAAGACACAAAGCGGAGACCGACAGAGAAACTCCCACCACAGAACAGACACATGTACTTTAAACCATAATTATGCAGAGTTCCTGATGAATAATCCAGGGTTAGTCTAAAACAGAGAAGAGCAGAGTGAGTGTGTGCTCTCCCCTGGGTGTGTGCTCTCCCCTGAGTCTCTCCAGTCTCTCTCTGCAGCAGCCGTGAATATTCAGGAGAACATACATTTCATAAATATGCATGAAGCGCTCGCAAAACAACAAGTGTAGCAACAACGAAACTACAACAGCGAGGCCAGGAGAGTGTGAGAGGTTCATGCTAACACGCTAACATGCTAACATGCTAACAGTGTGTGTGAATGGACTCACGGCGCGGTGCTGCTGGACCTGCTTGTGGTTGGTGATGACTTGGCGGATGCCGTTGACGAAGCCACTCTGGTCGTTGGGGATGAGGCCCATAAAGATCCTCTTCTTGGACGAGTAGAGCAGCATCAGGACCCGCACCTCACACGGCGACGTGGTGTGAGGGAAGTGCACGCAGCCGGCCTGGACACCAATCACAACTCTGCGTTACTTCTACTGCGAGACAACAGTCAATAATAATCATAATAATTAAACCCGCAAGTGACATCGAACGGCCCATGTAAGGCTGAGGCTCCATCTTCACACAGCTCTGATGGTACAATATATCAGTCATGTAATAATATGATAAACAGGGGGCAACAGTGGCTCAGTTAGAAGAGCACTGGCCTTTGAGCCTGGAGGTCGTGGGTTCCTACTCCAACTGCTCCCACAAATGTCTACTGTCCTTGTGTCCTTGGGCAAGACACTTAACCCCACGTTGCCTGAAGCTCCCGCTGAGAGACCAAGGCTGTGTCACCGCTGACGGAGCAGCCATCTTCCTGTGGACCCCCTGCAGAGGATCAGAGGGACTGGTGCTGTGAGACTGGGGGGGCTCTGACTGTCACCCCCCGACCCAGTTTATGTGGAAATGTTTGATTATTTTGGATTTTTTGATTGACACAGAATGTTGTCGTCACAGAAACATGGGGAAAAGTCATGGATCTGATCAGACTTTGTGTGTGTTTGAGAGAGAGGAAGCCGTGGAGAGGCCTGCCCCCTACAGGCTGCAGGAGGAACTGTGCTGTCGTGTCACAACAATTACATCAGATTTATTCAAAGAGTCAAAATAACAACATCGAGAGCTCTTTCAAAGCATTCAAAGCCATTTCCTCATTTTACTTTTGTGGAAGTTTTCAGTTTTGGTGCAAAGGACGTAAAATAAATGACACAGGAGGAGGAGGAGGAGAAGGAGAAGGAGAAGAAGGAGAAGAAGGAGAAGAAGGAGAAGAGGAAGAAGAGGAAGAAGAGGAAGAAGAGGAAGGAGAAGAGGAAGAAGGAGAAGGAGAAGAAGAAGGAGAAGAGGAAGAGGGAGAAGAGGAAGAAGGAGAAGAAGAAGAGGGAGAAGAAGAAGAGGAAGAAGAAGAAGGAGAAAAAGAAGAAGGAGAAGGAGAAGGAGAAGAAGAAGAAGAAGGAGAAGAAGAAGAAGGAGAAGAGGAAGAAGAAGGAGAGGAAGGAGAATAAGAAGGAGAAGAAGAAGGAGAGGAAGGAGAAGAAGAAGGAGAAAGAGAAGGACTGAATGAGCAGAGGAAGTAATCACATGAAGAACAGATTTGTCTAAAACCGGGCAGTTGTTCAGATTTTAACGACAGGTCATTGTAAATCTGCAGAAGGGGAAGTTTAAAGTCACTCACGAAGCCGTTGGCCATGATGCGGTAAAGGCCTTTGAGAGACTCCACGTCTTTGTTGGTGAAGAGGAACTGAACCATGCGAGAGTTCCGGAACAGAGGGCCCAGAGTCGTCTGGAAACACGAACATCAGCTTTAAATCAGCCCAAAAGTTAAAGAAGTCAGAGTCTGTCTGTGACTACGATGGCTTCTTTAACACACAGATCTTTACTGCTGTTGTGGGAGGTTTTCTGTACGATGTGATGGAAGCAGGACAGAGGGGGCAAAGTAAGGGAGGCCGGAGCACCCGGAGGAAACCTAGGCAGACACGGGGAGAACATGCAAACTCCACACAGAAAGAATCAAACCCATTCTTGATGTGAAGTACAAGTGCTAACCACTGCAGCCCCAAAATGCTGTAAAATACATGAGACAGCGCCCCCTGTGGAAGCTACTGGGAATTATAGTAAACATACATACCAGTAAACACTGTTACCAGTAAACACAGTTACCAGTAAACACGGT